ATGCTGTACCGTTTATATTGTTCAGTTGTCAATAATACATTCATTCTAGTCTGCTTTATAATGCTACGTGTAGTTCATAATTTGCCTACTGACTTCCTAATATGTTGCAAATTTAATCAGGAGAAAATCCTGTTTCTTCAACAATGGAATAAACAGCAAAATAATGAAATAAGCTGCATGTGTATTGCACAGTCTACTTTACACTTTCAAACCAATAACTCAGCTCTTCAGGAACATTTTCCAGTCCTCTATGATATTTTCTCCCCTTAAAAAAAAATCTGGTTTTCTCAATTATAAATCAGGTTAACATGGGATTAGTAAAGGATGCAGACAAGATAAAAGATTAGGAATATGCCGATGAAGTCTGAAAATTGACCAGCACAACTTGTACATAACTTAAAAGGCGTGACAAGAAACCAAAAAAACCCCTTTGGAATGATTCCCAGCCTTCTGGAGGAAAGAATGTATGTCTGTCTTGGCAGATTGCAGCATATTGGACCCTAAAACTGCAGCAACTTTATACAGAGAAAAGTTATTTTAGAGGTTTTTAAAAATGCATTAGACCTAGTTTTTCTTTCACTACGTTGCCTGTACATGCATGATAAATAAAGCAAGCCTACTTCACAGGCAAAAAAGATCAGAAAAAATAATTCTTAAAACAATTTTTACACTCTTAATGTTCCCATAAAATAGCTTTTCTCCAAAATGCACAGCACAAGTAACCACATGACGTGAAAGTATGGCAGAAGAGATGTGTATATCTCATGAGTTTCCGAAGATTACTGTGTTAACTCTCAAGAAACGTGCCACAGTCTCCCAAGTTACTGTGTAATCACAGCAAAATTACATTATGCTGGACTTTCTTCTCCCACACTGCATACGGCTGTTACATTTAAAGTTCCTCAGGGCAAGGACTGTGTCTGTATCTATTTTGTAAGGTGTTATGCAAACATATGGTGTTTAATAAATAATCATGAGTAAGCAGTAACCTCAAACTCGGGCCAGGAGATCTTTTATACCTATGCCGTTGCTTACTGTTGCGTGTTATACAGGTCACAACCATGTGCATACGTAGGTGAGCATGCACACATGTGGAAATACAGTGGGGTGTACTGGTGATAGCAGTGATGATGCAAAGGTGAAATCTGTCTCCAGTCCTTTTTCTGGCAATTTTGTACCCAATTAACTGAAAACATTAAACCATTACATTAACAGACCACCCGCTGTCATGCCTATGTAATTGAGGGAGTAAAATTCTTTTGAATCTAAATTTCAGAAAGAAGTGAATGTTACGTTCTGAGCAGTTACCTAGGTTTTAAACTGATAGTGCATTTTTGCACCAATGGGGAGAATGAAGTCAGTTCCTTTGAAAATAAATAAATTTTAGGTGTTATGACTCACATAAAGGAAATGTGGTGTCCTGGGTGATGCCTGAACTTAGTGTAAACTACCAAGCAAGTTACAAGTATACTCTTAAACAATTTTATATTAGAAGAATGAACAAAATCTTTCATAATTACTTATACCTCTTCCCCAGCCATGCCTCTTGCAAGGATAGCAGAATCTGTTGTATTTTACTCACCTGCAAACCCCATCATTGCGTCCTAAAACTGTGAAGTCATGATTTAAATAAAAAGAGACAAATTTCAGTAAAAGTGAGATGCGGTCCTCTCTATTTCTCCACTGTTTTTGATGAACACATTTTTCCCCATAGACTAACAATCAAATAACTACATAGTTCTCTGATTAATTCTGCTAAAAAAGTAAAAGGAGAAGCTATATTTCCTTCGTGGTATAGATAACTTAGTTCCTGTAACTGTGAGACTGTCTGTGACTGTAGTTCCTGCAAAGCTTACCCCTCGTGCCTACAGTGGAAACAGCCACTAAATCCACAAAGGCAAAACTCCTTTGCTCCCATTTCTTCTTTAGCCTGATCCTTATGTTTTCTTCTCAGTGGAGCAGCAAACCCACTATTAAAGCTCCAAAAGGGACTTCTTTGATCCTGGAAGAGAGAGAATAAACTGAAACCACTGTCCTTCAAAAAACAGTATTAAACGAGCTTTGTAAAGTTGTACTCTATTGAAACGTACGGGGGACAGCCGCTTGGGTCTGGGCTGTACTTTAGTTACGGACAGCCGCCCACTGAGGTCCTCCTTCCCTGTTGCAGAGTGTGGTTTTGTTTTGCTAAACTGGCACCTGTAGCCTGAATCCCTCCCGGGAGACTTGCTGTGTGTGTAAGGTGTGTAGCTGTTCCTTCCCCTGCCTTTACCTTGCACACTCTTCCTCGGACCAGGGAGCCTGATCACTGCCATCATCTTCAGAGGCTGCTTCTGGGAACTGCAGTGAAACTCAGGGATGTTCCCTTACAGCTCTGTTTTGGGGAAGGGAGAACGGATGTTCTGTTGGTTTTGCTTAATGATGAAAGAGCAGGTAGAGAAATCTTAACAAAGTCTACATTAATTCACAGTAGTTCAAGCAGCATCAAAGCAATTATATCTTTTGAAGAATCATTTGTAAGGTGATTCTCTGTTCATCTGCACCAGCAACAGGGAGTGGAAATCAGTTCAGTCGCTCTACCAAATACTGATAACTAGTTACATTGGCCTTTAGATGGCATATGTGACCTGGGAGATAGGAACTGGGTAGCTGGCGTTCATCACTGAGAAAGTTTGTAGAACTAAATGAAATAATCGGTTTTATTATTTTGTACTGTTGTATGTAAGGCATGCTCTGACCAGGTCTTTTTGCATAACTCCCATTGAAACTAATGGAAGCCATATGCACAGGAGAGAAAAGTGGACTCATAAAGAAATTGTCCTCATCTTAACACTGTCTTACTAGTGTTCTCTTTCTTCTCTAGGCACCTTAACAATGAACATGCATTGGATGACAGAAGCACTGCTCAGTGTCGGGTGCAAATGCAAGTGGTTCAGCAGTTAGAAATACAGGTTTGTTACATGGATGTGTTATCCTATCACGCATTTGCTATTAACCTAAACTAAATTGAAAACATTTGCCTTAGTGACTCTAGCTTAAAGCCATATGTTTCTTGCATGAAGTTTGTTGATATTCATGAACAAGTGGGGTTTTTTTACTTAAAGACTTTTCACATTATAAATTATGCAATAATTATCTAACATCAGCATTGTCTACAGTATTTTGCTTGAACTAAGACCCTAATTCCATTCATCACGAATGAAAAATGCAGTCCCTGGAGCAGAGACTGGTTCCAAGCCGTCTTCAGTTCTTGAAATGTTGGGTCAGGACCCCTCTTCCTTCTTCCCCTTCTGACCCGATGCTTGTCCGTGCCATTCTGCAGGACAAAGGAGTAGCAGAGGGTATCTCTGGCCGAAATGACTCCCAGCCTGATGGTGGGCATTTTTCTGCGAGCAGAAGGTGCAGTGTCAGACCCACCCAGGGAGGTCCCCGGGGGGTCCTGTGGCTGGGACCGCAGGACTCGGGTGCCCCTTTCAGGCTGTAACCATTAGAGGTCACTCCCTGGATGTGAATGCTCCCTCCAGCTTACGCAAGAAGTGCCGAGTACCCCTGGGGTCTCCCAGTATTGAGACTACACTTACCGGGCTACCGAGGCTGGGCACAGACCTCGGCAGCCCAAAATGACCGTGCCGGACACTTACACCGCACCGTCCCCTCCCGCCTGTACCGGAGTCGTAGGAGGGCATTTCTCAAGAGTCCCGTCCCCTCTTGGGACCGTTCAGAGGAGCTCAAGGGATGCAGCAAGGGCCTGAGATTTTTTCTCCCCGTTTGTTGCCCTGTGTGGAGAAAGAAGGATAAATACCGTTCAGCTTTCTCACCTTTTAGCGTATTGTCTCACTGTTCTCATGCATGTAAGAATACTTGTTCTTCTTTCAGCCAAGGCAAACTGTTTGGGTCTTTTGTATTTTAATACTGGAAACCCAAAGCAATGAGAGGAGTGTACAGTAATGTCATTTCCGTTCAAATGAAAGCTTTATAAACCCAGGCAAAGCTGCAGTTTCTTTCAGAAGATTTACAGGATAGCGTTAGCTTAATTTGTTAGGAATTTACGTCATGGCAAATAGCATATCTCTAAAGTGTCACACACATAATATGAAGCCTAAGAAGAAACGTTTTTGCCACCCCCTGCCTCAGATGTTCTTAAATTAATGATACACTGACCAAATTATATCCAGCATACCCAAAATATCTGCAGTAATACAGGTAGTTTCCTCTTCTTAAAATTACTTACAAGTTGTTTTCCTTAGTCCAGTCTCAGTCTACAGGTGTAACTCTTGAGCTGAATTCACACAAGAAGGTATTACAGAACTCTCCGGAAAATGGCAGCATTAAACACCAAGTGATTCTTGTTGCAGTGAATGTTGTAACCGTGTTGTAGATATCAAAAGCCGTATCACTAGAATACAATTCTGAGCATTTCTTCTTGCAACCTAGCTTTTGAAAAAAAATTATTCTTTTCATGTTGTAAGATAGAAAGTTCTGGTATTTTTATCAACAAGCTACATATTTCAAACACTTCCTCCTCTTTCTTTTTTTTTTTTTTAAATTTGGTAATTTGTTTGAGTCTGAAACTACAAATATTTACGTAGCATATGATCAGAAAATGGTATCAGTTAGGAAAAAGTACAGGTTCCAGTAACTTGATGTTTTCTAAAGGCAGTTTAAGGGCTGCTTACGAACTGTTTACCATTTACAAAGGCTAGGCTGTAATGTAACAGTCCAAGTGAAGATTTAGCTTGCAGTGTGACCAATTATGCCATTTTTTGCTTTGTCTGACTGCTAGTGAAGTAAGGTCCATCAGTTGTAATGAGACCCAGTGCAGTGTCGATGCCGACTCGGTGGCAGAGTTCAGCGTTTCACACTGCCTGGGCCCTGTCACTCTATTGAATTAGATTGATGATGGCAGATTGCAGGGGGCACTAACTGGACCTCAGTGGGAAAGGATGAAGTGTGTAGACAATCCTGGCAGGCACTGTGCTTTGAGGACCCTTCACCCCTTCACA